CATGTAACGCGCGCGCCTTATTTCGCGCGTAACGCGCGCGCGCGTAACGCGTTATAACGCGCGCGCGTAACGCGCGCGCGCGCGTAACCCGCGCGCGTAACGCGCGCGCGCGCGTTCCAGTTTTTACACTTTAAAAAGATGAAAAAGTATAGCTTAATAATATATTCTATTCCACTAATTACTGATATACTTGTTACAGTATAAGCGATACTGGAAAGTTAGGACCCTCCGTGGCGCAGCATATCACATGACCTTTACGCAGCACACTGATAATGCTCCTCTTGCTACAGAGTTGAACGACATCGATTTGCACCAGATTCAGCATAGACGAACTAATATTTATAGTTCTCCTTGTATTGTTATAATCTTGTCGTGTTCACCAGTGGCAGTCGCTTGTTTCTTCAACAGCAGCATGCTTCTATTCAACAGCTGCAGTGCGAAATTTACAGGTCAGACTCTCGTGTTCACAACACGTGTTAGTCATCGCAGCAGCTAGCTCAGCATCGTGCAACAGTAGTCAGAGCCAGTATACAGTGTGCACTTCTAGTACAGCAACCAGATGTTTCTGCTGTTTTTTGTGAAGACAAAGAAAAAAATATTTCCGGATCTGTAGGGTGCATGCAAAGCCTAGTTCAGAATCGTTAGCGTTTCAACAGTATCTATGATCCGCATGTCGTAGTCGCAGGCGCAGCAAACCATCTGCAGCAAGAACAGATGTCTCTACCTTGATGTCCTCACAATCAACCTCTGCATCATCTTCAATATCTATGTCCTGTTCTACTAAAACATTCCAGGTCAGGCTATCACATCTAGTTCCATCGACAATTACTACGACATCCAGAAGAGTAAGTACTAGTACCTCTCATTCTGTAAAAATACACATATTACAAGATCGGTTGGAATAGAAACGAAATTAATAGAGTTGTTGTCCACCAAGAACAACACCACCACACCACGCCGACAAAATGAAGTTCCAATTGAGTGTTTTGTCCTCCACCAGTGCTGCGGTGGCCTATGCCGCTGTTATGGCAGCGCCTCCGTCTGAAGAGGGGTTCCTGAGCTCCTCTGGGCCAACGGCTGCGCTACTTGGCGACACGAACATCCAGGAACAAGATCTTTCAGGAACAAATACTGCTGCTACCGTTCAGGAAGATGAACAAGACCGTGCTGTAGCAGCTGGCGCTGAGGGAGAAATTGAAGATCAGGTCTGTCCACCTGCATCCTTCGACTCCATCTCGAAGGAAAAATTGGAAGAGCAAGGTGGTCTTCGGACCTACATCAGCGATCGTTGGTTCATCCAGGAACAAATGCCAGTGGCCTACCTGGGAGAAGAAAAGAACTTCTGCGTCAGTGCCAACTACACTTTGAAGTTAAGGCTGTTGAAGCTGATTCATCTAATGCTGATACATAGGGATAGGCTGGTTCTAACGCCGTATTAAGCCGTGCTAGTAGTTTTAATGCCGTCATAAGCAGCGACTCAGTTCCAATGCTGGTAAGCTAGTTCTATTGCTGATAAGCAGTGGGTTAGTTCTAGTGTTGCACTAAGCTAGTAAAAAGAAGAAGTTGATAGAATATTTTTAGCTGTTTTCTAATTGCTCGTTCTGTAGTTGGTGATTGAAGCTCTTTCTAACGCTCGTTGTGTAGTCTTGTTCCATCTTCATGTCATTTGATGTCCTCCTCTTCTATACGTTATTACTACATTATTGACAAGAACGATGTCTCACAACCGTAAATTCTCTATAGACCTACCCTCTAGTTGTACCCTCTAGTTGTACCCGCTAGTTGTAAACCTAATCTAGTACTCTCCAGCACACGTACTTACTTGATTCTGATTGGGCAGAGAACTAGAAGACCTTCTTTCTCCCCTCTAACAACGGAACCGCGTCGTCTCCGTGACCCGTTTTCTTGGTTCAAATGGGGATACGAGATCGGAGTCTCGAACTATGCTGAAACTGCCGATCAAACGCCCAGTGGCGGACCACTGTGCGCCAAGTACGTTGATGAGGACACTGGCAAATTGAAGGTCGCGCCATGCTTTCTCCCCCCGATTGCTGCCGGTGCCTACTGGGTGCTCGATTACGATGAAGAGGTGGGCTATGCTCTCGTCAGCGGTGGACCTCCCAAGGATAAGAGCAATGGAAAATGCAAAACGAAGAATGCCGTTTTCAACTCTGGCTTGTGGATCTTCACACGCTGTCCGAATGCTGATCAAGAAGTGATCGACCAAGCTCGCAACAAAGCGGAAGAATTGGGCTTTGATTTGAGCGTGCTCAAGCCGGTCCTGCACCACAAAGAGTGCCGCTACGGACTCAACGAGGACGAATTCAGTGGCTTGCAAGCCCGCTTGAAGCAGCGTCAGTGTGCAGTTGTGACGAAGGAGCTGAAGCCTGCGAGTGAAGGTGAGCATGAGTCAGGCTCCGAAGCTGGTGCGGCTGTGGAAACCGCTGCTGGTGAGGATGTAGCAGCATCTGGTCAGCCGACTGGCGCTGAGAATTCAGAAGCGCCAGAGGCTGCACCTGTGACGACTACTCCAGTGAATGATCAGGAATAGAAGTGGAACTTGACGTAGGAGGTAGAAAAAGGTTGAAATGGAAGTGTGTCTAAACAGATAACACCGTTTTTGTCGTTAGGCGTAAGTCAAAGCAGGTGATCTGGTAAACACAGCAAATTATGATCGTGACGTGATTGCAGTTGCCAACATGTTGATGAGAGGCTTCGAACTTTGTAGTTACATAATAAGGCAAGAAGATCTCCATATTAGAAAGTTGTAGTAATACAGATAGCATGAGTCGTCCTTTGTTTGTTTACGGCTCGGAAAAAGTACATGATCATTCACATTCAATCTTCGGGATTACAGCTACCTAGCTCTACAAATTTGACAAGCCAGTTCTAGGGAAAAAGTACTAAATCAGCTTCTGACGTATAATACTAGTTTTTTCGAAGTTTTGTGATGCGAAGCGCTTGCCTTCGTCATAAAACACGACATAACACAGATCATCCTCACAAAGCCGATTTGTCACTCTAGGAACTGGGGAGACAAGTAGAATGAGAAGTTGTCAATTCCTTGTTGTAGATAGAAAACTGTCAATTTTGTAAGTGCGCGTAGATGTGAGAAGGGTGGACATAGACATGGATCTAGAAGCTAGGAAGATAGGAGTGTGGATGTCGTCCTCGTCTTGGCTTGGTTGTCGCAGTCAGGCTAGGTAAGACATCCTGAAAATCATGTGGTCGCTTTTTGCTGCTAATTTTTCCTTGACAGCATTTGGCGGAAAATATGAAGATCAAAGACCATTCATGCATGAACGATGGTGATTGCTTGATTACGCGGTCGTGAGCAACAGCACCTTGTTTCAACATGAAGAACTTTTGGAGGACAGACATAATGTTGAGGATTGTGGACCTACTTTGAACACACACGACGTTGTTGGCATTGTACCCGGAGATAGTAGCGGCACTCGACAGAGGAAATTAACCGGCACAAGCACGCGAGTCCCGCAAACTATTGCTGCAGGATGGTTTCACTATGCAATGAAGAAGATCCGAATTTTTTCTGTTGCTGAAAGGATTTAGTGAGCATGGGGTCTCAGTAAATTAATAGCTTGAGTCTGTTGTTGCAGAGTGCACTGAGCGATAACAAGTAAGCTACTCATCTTTGACGAGAGAGCAATGAGTGAGCGAAACCGAAAGCTTGGAGTTTCCCTGTTCTCTGTTCCGCCCTGTTCCCCAAAAAGCAGTTGTGCCCTGCAGCGTGCTTTTCAGCAAAGCCTGTGGTCCATTGCGAAGCGATCCAATTCTATTCTCCACCTGAACTTGTTGCGTGTTCCTCCTGCTCATCAAGTTCCGCAGCGTCAGCATCCTGCCTGGAACTAATTGTGAGTACTTATAACCAATGCAAGAACGAACAACATGAGAAAAGGCATCCCGCAACGCAACCACGAGGCGCAAGCTTTAGCTGTTATGGTCTAATAGGGATCAACATCAAAGAATTAGGTAACGCACACACGCGAAAAAGTTGTAATATCGTCCTGTTGTATAAATCAAAAAGCAACTACATATTTTCGTCCATCTTCGCGTCTATGCAGATACAAGGAAGGGTCCCTTAGATTACCATCATGTGCCAATTTAGATTGATACTGTTTGGATAAAGCACAGACAATGACAATTCAAGTGACATCTTCACTTCTCGTCGTGCGAGATTAATGTTTACCAAAAAGGCAATCAAACAACATTTGTGATCATTGATGAAGTCAACTTGAATTGAAGTGTCAGCACCTTGTTCGGTGGTAGTATTTATTATCTTGCATTTTCTAGTTAGGTTGTTTTTTGCATTTTCTAGTTGGGTTGGCTCCACCACTACATTAGTGACGAGATCGGTCCTCCACTGGGCATCATCGAGAATGTCATCGTTGGTCACCAAGCGTGGAAAGCAGCCAGATCAAGCGGATGACGCGTGCGAAGAGGAGCATGGGTTTTCCAAACGTCGGAGGGCCGAGCCCGAATCCCCTCAGGAAACAAGTACTATGGAGGAAGAAGAAGAGGTCGGCGAAGATGATGGTGATCACCATCTAGTCAGGAACAGAGGCTCGCCGCGGGGCACCATCGTTGAAATCGACCTTCAGATGCCAACTTCGGACCTGCAGCTACCTCAGACCTGCACGACTGCGAACGGGAATGAGTCAACAGATCTACTACAACCGGCAAGTTTTCAAGCGGCTCCTTCCAGTAGTGCATGTGCAGCAGCAACTTCAACTGGCAAGAAAGAGGAACTCTCGACGAAAAAGGTCCTCACCACCTCGACTTCTCGGGAGGTCGTGAAGGATGAAGGTCAGGAAGATGCTGGTGATGAGGATTCTGCAGCCAAGAAGAAGTGGCGTATGTTCGTGAATGTACTCGTACCCTCTGGGTCCCACGACGGGCCTCCGAACGTTGCAACCGTGCGGGTGAAGTGCAACGGCATACCTGTGAACGATGCCGACTCCGTCTCCTGGTGTGTGCAGAAAGAAGAAGAGAGTCTCTCTTTGAGCAGTGATGTTCCTGTTGAAGCGCGCGACAAGAGCGCGACCCAGGAACAGATGAGTCAACTTCAGCTTCAGGAACCTACAAAAGGAGTGGATGAAGTAGGTCAATATAGTGTTGTCGTGAGCAAGCAAGACGAGCAGGTTGTAGAGGACTTGACGCTCGGAAACCCATCAGAGGCTCAAGAAAAATTGCAGGCCGCTTTGCATAGCAGCTCTCCACCCCCATGTTGTAGTAGGAGTTCGTCTCCTGAGTGTTCATTAAGGCTAGGTTAAAGGTGCTTTTCTTACCGCTTTTTATGCCTCTCCTAAGGGAGAAAGGCATAACAAGCGGGGCAAGCGAGCACCAAAAACCTACCTCTAACAAATTCAAGCTCACCTCCTACGACATCTTTGATTCATCTTGTCGGACGGCGGTTGGAAGAACTTTTCTACTTCAGGAAGAACACGGAGCGCAATGCTTTGGACTGGTACGACGATGCCGGCGAAGAGGAGGACGCCTTAAAGCTCCTTGCGCCCTGCATCCCATCCGTGCAGGCCACCTATTTATGACCCATTTTTCTTGTTTAATATCCTCGAAATACTTGGAAATTATTACGAATAAATCTACTCATGATAGAGATAGACATAATAAATGCCAGAGTGTTAAGCATTATATAATCCACTTCAAAACGAAAACAAGAGTCAATATCAACAGATGGCAGACACAGAGGTAAGAACCAACATGAACAGTTTTTTTCCATCGTCATTGATTAGAGTTGTTTATGTTTTTCATCGTAATCTTTATTTCCTCATTGTCTCCCTCTGCGCCTCGTCCTGAAATGACGTCCTCAAATGAGCCTGATGTTATTCTGTCTCATCTGGTGTTGCTTTATCTCTTCTAAGGTGCCTTGGTCTGCCACCAGATCCAAACCCCATGATGAGCCAGCCGGTAGGGAATGGTCGCTATGAGTTATTGCCACTGAGCGGGCCTTATCGCAGCCAATGGTTTGCGGAACGCAATTCTAAGAGGATGACAAACATTGCGCCGGGAACAGCCTTCATCGGGAAGAGCATTCGTCTCAGTGTTGAGCCGCGGAGCCGCCCACTAGAAGACGAAAGAGGCGAAAACACCAGCAACAGCAACTACAAGCCCAACGACCGCAGAACAACAGCTACCGTAACAATTTTAGCGTTCAAATTACAAGACGGCGTCGATTGTTTTGTGGGCGTTCCCTCAGTTAAGCGTCAGCACCTCACTGCATTCTCCACTGCCATCCTCGGCCTTTTTTTCAAGTAGGAAACACTAGGTCAAGGATGTTCTGAGGAATGTAACGGTGAAGCCCCTAACTCAGTAGTGAATGCCAGTGGGGCAGAGAGGGATGGCAGCACTATCGCCATAGACATGTGCTGTGACGATGTGCAAAAAGTGGCCGAGGCGCTCCTTTCCGCTGTCGAAGAAGATGAAACTGATTTGACGAGCACTGGCGTCGAAGGTGAGCATGAACAAGGTTTGGCAACTACCGCGACTCGTTTGGGATTGCAGGATGTGAGCAGTCTGGATTTGCTGCTCAAGTTGCCAGCCGTTGCGACTTTCGAACTCGATGGTGGCAAGGACGATTCCACAGGAAGGACCTGCCAGACCCGAAGGGGCGTGGTGGCCACCACTACATCTTCCACTACATCTTCCGGCACAGAAAGCGATCATGCTAACAGAAAGCAATCAGATCATGCTGAAACGAGAAAACCTCCGCCTCCACGAAAAGCGGCACCCGACCAGACGAGGAAGCTGTCCACCTCGTCCCCCTCCTCGGACAAGAACATCAAGGTAAAAGACAGCGAGGAACGCAAGAACAAGAAGTTGTTGATGTGGGACTGGACAGAAGATCCAGAGCGCTGGGGAGCGATGAGGCGCTCTTTCTCCGAGGAAGTGCCACCCAGCTGTTCTACACCGGAGGAGCGAGCGGCAATTCCAAAGACCTTGCAACCCGGCAACTACAAGCGTCCAAAAGTGCATTTTTGCTTGGATCGTCGATTTGTCGTCGTTTTTCGGAAATCCTCATCCTCCTCGCCTTCCTCCTCAGCTAATCATACCTGCTCTTCCTCAACGTCAACATCTTCTGCAGACAACACGACAGTCGGAGGGCTCTCCGGTTGTACAGCACAACGCGGTGCTAAACGCGGAACTGTTCTTGGTTCCTACATTGGGGGGAGCCGGCGCCGCTCTTGGCAGGAGATTCTGCCTGCTAACAGAGACATCAACTTGCAGTCCGGTCTCCAGTGCTATCGCTGTTGTCTTCCTGTGCAAGGCATGCCTACCCTCGAGATCGGACCCAAATACACCTCGGCTGGCTCTCCGCGCTATCTCTGGATCTGCTACGCTTGTTTCTTGGAATACCAGGAGACACAGCGAGTTCGAAACAGCCACTGGCACTTTGACCAAAGGCACGACCTACGACTCGTTGGATCCGAAGAGGCGCTAGGGGTCTACCCCGATTTGCTCGTTTGCGGTCACCCGTGGTGCAATGGTTCCGGAAGCGATTTGATCGACCCAAAGCCTGACCCTGATGGACGAGGCTGCCGCCTCAGCTGCAGAAAATGCAAAACTTCTTGCACTTACATACCGGGCAAGCGACGGCTGCCCGTGCCCCTGAATTTCCTTTCGTTGACGCATCGCGCAAACCTCTCTTTTGACGAAATTGAAAAGGAAAAACGCAGACGCGGTCTCTTACGATAGTAAGGTTCCGCAGGATGGGAAACCCCGACGACGCCCTGTGCAACATAGTGCAAGTGCACCTAGAATTTCTTGTAAGGAATGCTAGCAGTGGAGCTTGTTCTTTATCTATCATATTGGTAACAGTTTTTGAGCATCATTAACTGTTTGGAATATGGAAAGACTCCTTGTATATAATAGTAACCCGGATATCACACTGAGTCCTTCGTTTGTCTGCGGCTCAAAAACAGTACGCCACATTTTCTTAATCTTGGAAGTACTTCTTTATGAACCTAGTAGCGGTCAGCGTCAGTTACTACAGCATATTTTTGATGAGAAGCTCCTGTCTTCGGCACGGGCCACAACATAACAGCATAGATTGTAATCAGTAATATGATCATTGAACATCGAGATATTATATCTCTCGGAGAAAAAGAGGAAATGGAAAACAGTAGAAGGTGTCTATCTATTGTACTTGGTTATAGGTCAACCATTTTCAGGAGTCCGCAAAGCAAGGAGCAACACACAGAGTCGAGATGGCAACAGCCACAATAATGATTGTGTATTTGCCAATGTTGGCCATTGAGTCGAGCCGACCTATACATCCTCTGAGTCGAGCCGGGTGCCGGGGGGCCTCGATGTGCAGGATTCACAACCTAACCTAACCATTCCTCAGCAACGCAGTAGGTGTAGAACAAGATGTAGAGACCTCCCACCCTCCCAACAGACTGGATTCGTAACACTGGATTCTAAAATTGTCAGCATGAAAAACCTTCATAAGTCTATAGATACTAGTTCGTTTCTAGATATGCCGTAAGATCCGACGGAGGAAGAGGTTGCTGCTGCTGCTCTAAAAGACTGGTGTGAAGTTGTTTCGTCAGACTTTAGCAGTCTCATGTTACCGCTGAGTGTAGTACTGAAGGTGAAGATGTTGAATTAGTGATAATAAGAGAAACAGGAGTAGCGTCCTCTGCGAGAGAACCGTGATGCTGGCTCATCTGTGAGAGAACTAATATGAGCGAGATATTAGAACATTCATTTTCCGTTTCCTGCGCCTGCCCCACGTAATCGTGGTCAGTCAGTTTGTAACTACTAGATTAGCATCAATGAAGTAGGTATAGGTGTCCCCAGTGAGTACTTCTACTTAATCTTGTATCTATAATCTTCATCTTGTTCTTTTCGGTCCGTCTTTATTGCGCGATCTCCAAAAGCCCTTTGCCCCATAGTTTGCGCCCTATGCAATTGTGGCTCTGGTCCAAGAGAGGCATACTGAGGAGAAACGAAGATGAGCAGTACTCTCGTCGACTTCGATCGAACGTGGAGGGAGGCGGAAGCGGGGAACGTCTCCTTCGTGCCGCAGAGTGGACACTTCTGGATAGCGATATTCTTGTCGGTTTTCTGCCATTTACCTTTCTTCGGTCTGACATTCGTCTACCTTAAACGCAGCTATGGGTTTGAAAACACTTTTTCGATGGCGCATTCGATAAGCAGTTTGATACACCTCACCGCATTATCGACAATTATTATGGAGGAATTGGAATATTGCATTACTAATCGCTCTTAATTATTATGGAGGAATTGGAATATTGCATTACTAATCGCTTTTAATAGAATTCTACCTTGTCTTCTACTGATTAGTCACTGCTGTAGTTCGAGTGCTTTGCACTGTATTGTTCATACTTTGATGACGATGTGGTTCTGTATTTGTTTCACAACTACTACTAGTACTTTCTTTCTCAGAGAAAGAAGGTACTTACTAGTAGTAGATCACTCTATAGTAGTAGATAGAGACTCTATAGTAGCTCTACTCTAGTACAGTCGTGATCTTCTACTCCTCTCCAACATAGTCTTCTCCCAGGGATCTCCCAGGGATCTAAGTCCCAGTACGAATTGATCCGGACCGCGTCCAGAGCCGCCGTTGTGGGACACATTATTGACGTTGGGCAAATCATCAACCAAAAGTTTTACGGCTTGAACGTGTTCCAATGGCGCGCGATCACGATGTTCCTGACCAGTGTGTCTTTCTGTTTTCTCCTCCTCGTCTGCATGGGAAATAGGGATCGGAAGGTGCTAAAAGTATATTGATGGTTTAATTCTCGATTTCATCATCTAGTACAGAATGGAGTAGCGGCTGCGTCTGCAGCAAACAACTCAATATTTTTGGTTTTTGAGTCACTACTTTTGAGTACACATTGTCGGAAAGCTCCTATGAGTACTAGAGGAGATACTATCACTAAGAATCATAGCTGGAGCTGGACTAGTTCAGGCGGATCATGTTGTCGTAGCAAACAAATGACGCAGAAGCACTTGCTCGAGAGGACTATGTATGTACTTATACTTATTTTTCACTTGTTTCATCACGACATAGAAGTTTATCAAGAATTTTAAGCACTTGATTGTTGCTCCAGGTCCCCATCCCCAAAAAACACGACACTACCCACGTGACACTACAGACCGACCGCTTCTGGCATGGTCTCATAGTAGCAGGCAACTGGATGCTCTACTGCGATCAGATGCAGATCAAAACTGGAGAAGATGCCTCTGCCAGGTTGTTCCCGGTTTTTCTCTTTGGGGTTTTCGTAGTAACAAAGAGAGTTCTGGCGAATGCGGGAATACACCACTTTAAGAGAAGATGGTATCAGATAAGGGTAGGTATAGGACCTATAGGTAGTACTTTCGCCTCTGTACTATACTATAGTATAGGTATAGGATACTATAGGAAGCACGTTCGCTTGAATAGGAAAGCTTGAAAAACAATATCGACAGAGTTGCCCCCGATCATACCTTTTCTTAAATGGTCGTGGTGGCACACAAGACGCCGCGGCTTGTCGTTGCCCTTTTCCTTTTCCTCGTGAGTGGGTACCTCTATCTATCTATCTATCTATCTATCCTTTGTAATCATATCTACAACACTCATTCGCATCTTCATTTTCTGGTGCATCGATTCGAAAAGCCCTGTGAGAATATCCAATGACAACTCTCGCTGGTTCCGCGATAGGGGTCCTACCCTCTGCGTCGTCGCTTGGTTCCTGTCTGCGCTATTGAATATCACTGTTAAGACTTGTAATTTGACCTAATATCAGGCTTGTTAGATGCGTTTAGAAGCACTAAAATATATACTCATCATTATATTGAATTTTTAGTCTTCATCCTAATATTATTATGGTCAAGATGAAGCATCTTTGACGTGCTTACAGCTGCTGAAGAAGCATCTTTGTTCTCTTGCCAAAGCGAGGGGAACTTTCACTTGCCAAGAAAGATGGGACTCTCTAGATGTTGGCGCTTCAAGAAGCTTGGAAAGCTCTAACACATCAGCCTACCTTGAGGATCGGGATTTATCGTTTTTCATGCCTTCCTTCCATGTTTGGCTGTTTGCAACTGCCATGGCTTTTTACCTGACCATCATAATGATAACCAGCGATCTAAGGAGATTGCGTGGAGACTACAACACTGTGGACGAGATAAAAAACGAAAGAACTACGGGGAGTAGTGGTCCTGATTACAGTCCTAGTAGAGGCGGTGGTCTTAGTCCTAGGAATCAGGGTACTAGCAGGGGGAGAACAAGTGCTGGTGCTGTTCTTGGGAATGAACCTTCTGGTGCACCCTCTTCACCTACAACCAGCTGGTGAGCAAACTAGTACAACAACTTCTGGCCAGGGGCAACCTCAAGTACTAGGCACTGCCACTACAACTAGTAACTACGTTTTTTCACCACGCACTGGCAGTCCCAATCGGATAAGAACATCTTCTACTGTAGTTGGGAGAAGTCCACAAGCGTGATCTTTCTGGTGTTGTTGCTACGATGTTCCACATCGACCTCTTCCACGTGCTTGTTCTTGCGTATAAGGAGTGAAAAGTTTAGGGAGATCTCCACTTCCCCGACCGAATCGGAGTGTCACGAATGTGCGGAAATCTCTCAAAAAATGATTCCTAATGTTGTGATCATGATCTGCGAAGTATCAATAAATTTAACTTAGGGCGAATAAGTTTACTACTCCGAAAAGATATGCACAAGATGCCCGTGGTCGTGAACAATATTGAAAGATCAAGGCCCTCTTCTGCAGCTATGCTCTACTTCCTGCTTGCTTTCTCTCTCGCTACTGCCCGCTATACCCCAGACCCCGGCACTTCCTACTACTGTGGTTCTCACACTTCTTGCTATGCCGTTCTCGGCACGAATCAGGAAGCGCTTCTGGCGATTGTGGAGGACGATCGTGCAAAATTCCTGCGACGTCTGTATCGTGAAACAATTAAGGCTACCACAAATCCATCTTCACAGGCATCCTGAGACCGTTTTGAAGGGGGAAAAGGTTTCAGGATGCGCGCGAAGATGGATTTCTTTGAGTTCTAAAACAAGCAAGAAAGCCCATCCGGATTTGGTTACTAGTTCTACATCTTCTACAGACTTCGAAACGGTGAAGAGAGCCTTTCACGTGTTAGCTGATTTTACGACTTCATTTTGTAGTTGAGCCTTTGATGAGTGCTAGCTGATTTTATTACGACTTCATTTTGTAAAGACTGTCATTTTCTAACATGTAGTTGTATTCCAACATACTTAGACACGCCTACCTCATTTATTTTTCAAAGAAGTATGATTTTCAAGGTCGAGAAATCAGTATTAACAGTACCAAAAGAAGATGCAACTATTGAGATACATGCACAATATGATGCACATCTACTACATCTACTTCTACATGCACCTCCTCTAAGGATCCGAAGCTTCGTCGCGCGCATGACTATTTTTGGTCGCAAATGGCAGAAGACGATCCAGACGAGAGGCTATTTTTAGAAGAATACTACGTGGATCCATCGTGGTTTCGCCAGAACGCGCATAATTACCGTGATACTTTCGTTCAGCGACAGGACGACGAAGAGGAGGAAGAGGGAGTAGATACTTATGACGCGGTGTGTCGTTGGAGGATGAACATGAACTCAATTTAATTACTGTTGGTCAATGGTCATTACTGGCTCAAGATCCAATGAATGAACCTGATTTCAATGCCAAATGACTGCTCACACTCGTCACCTTGATCATGATCAACGCCCTTCCTTGTCTTGAACTCATGTTAGTTCCTCGCACGATCATCATTTGAACTCAATGAATTCCAACATGAACCAGCAGTAAGATCCCCCAGGTCTTTAACTGCATTATGACCCTTCATGATATCCCAATGACATTGGACCCATTTTGATACCATTTCAGGGCCTTAAACAGTCAGTGATCATTCGGCACGTCCGTTCTGATCGTCTTTCTGTTACATTGCAACGATAATCATTCCATTTGCTCTCAAGAGCCTCATAGTGCGCTTGGACGTGTTCGGGTGTTCCAACAATTACTTAGAAGTCGTTTTTTTAAATTTATTATTGAAAGCATGGCCATTAACTTAATTTCTACAACGTCAACGCTGTTTTAATTTTATATCTATTCTACATGCTGATGCTTTCCTTTTTTTGCTTTTTCTAGTTTTTAGGTTGGCTCCACCCCTCTTTTAATATTGAAAGCGAAAGCCACTCTTTTTGGCAGTCCCAGTGATATTCATCCCCTGGCCTTGAAGAAAGACATAATTGTTCTGATTGTGGAAGAAAGCCACTCTTTTTTGCAGTGATATTCATCCCGTCGTCTTGAAGAAGGACATAATTGTTCTGATTGTACCCTCCTACACCTACTGTTCTTTCCCTGTTGAATCTCCCTCTTCTAAACAACTGTCGGGGAAGTGAACGCCAATTCTTCTCCACTGCCTAGATTTGAAGCATGGTTACGTTCTTGGATACATTTCATCCTACGGGTCACGCCTTTGGGCCAGGAAACCGAAACTGGTCGCACTATTGTCGCCATTATTCTTGTTGTTAAGGAAAGGTTTGCATACCCCGCCAAGAACAACTTCATCGTGACGAGAAGCATCTTTCCTGGACGAGAGTTTTTCTTTTTGTACTAAGCAGGGTGCATGGAGGCTTCTGAGATGCGCTTCAAGATGAAGATGGGTCTAAGGTCTAATGTCGTGATACTCTTCACCGTGTGTGAATTTGTGCACCGCTGGAGTCAGTACGTCATCCGCTTGCGAGGGGTCATAGCAAGTCAAGATTTTCGCAGACGGGCAGAACAAGTGCGAAGGAGTAACCCTAGTACTATGAAGATAACGTCTTCGAGTTCGAGTGGTCTTGAAGAAGGTGAAACTGAAAGTTCCACCAAGAATAATCTGAATAAGAAGATGAAGACACTATCATCTTCATCTTCGAACAAAAAGAGCGTAGTTCACTCATCAACGACATCGAAGAAAGGAAACAATTCATCCAAAGATCGTCCCATGCTCTCTTTAGAAGAAGCAGCCATCCACGTCTTTGAAAATGAAGTAGTACCACACGCTTCTCCCCCAGCGTTGACAGATCTATTGTTGCTTAGGTTCCTTATCTTTGTCTTCTTCTATGGCCCAAAAGATGTACTTCGCTTTATGGTCTCGACAGAACAAATGAAAGCTTGTGAAGATCAGACTCCTACGACATCTCCAGATAGTGGCACTTCAACAACATCTTTTCGCCTTGTGAAAAGGTTGCTCTGGTCCCGTGCAGTTCTGTGCTGGACTAAAAATTGCGAAGTTGAGAGGGTGATGTTCGACTTCTTGGGGGCATGACAGGAGCACGACAGCTCCGACTTGATCGTGTCGATCCTGTTGCTGGAAGTCGTGGTACTCGTCTTCTCATGATCAAGTACTTAGACAAGCAGTGCAAGAACATAGAAATCGGATCTCGACACGCTACGACTACGACACGAATATTCCTGATACCCTATGAGATTCGCAACGGGGGCTCGCGCACCACGACTCCTCATACAAGAACTAAGACACTAGGTTTCATCACATAAGATATTATGATGAAGACTGACAATTCCATATCCTCCAAAAGCCAACTACAGGAGGAAGCTCGCCTGAACAATCATCTTAGAAATTTTCTACTTGAGTAAAAACAGTTCTTTGAGTCAACAATGAAAACAACGAACTAGAACATGCATTAAATTTTACAACTACGTATTCGTATGTTAGAAAGCTATATCTTGACGTTAGCAACGACTCGTGGTCATATTTTCGACGATGGATATGATAGACAATAATGGCAATCAGATCATCGAATGTTTATAAAGTCATCTTAAAATATCATTCTCTCTACTTGAACGTGATATCCTAGTCCGTCGTGTTCAAATTTTCCGCTTGAAGAAGAAGATTTCTTTACTGAACTGAGTGTCTAAGGTTTCGCGCGTTTGAAGTCGTTTCATCTAAAAATCGGGCACGCAGTACAATTATGTGAGCAAGTGCTGGCTTTTTCCTGCCACTTGCTCGTTGATTCAATCAAGCTATTTGACTAAGAACTATTGTTTAAGATTCCTTTGTTCGCTATTTTTTCGCTCTTCTCCAACGGATCAATCGATCTACGTACGTCGCAAAATAATCTTATATTTTAGGGTTTTCGAATTGCATTCCTCACTACCATCCTTCGCTCGTTTTCCAGGAGGAAAAGGGTCAAGGATGTTCTGAAGAATATAATTCCGTAACCTGCTCTAATATATTGAGTTTTAACTGACTCACTACATCATCTACACTCGGACATTTAAGTAGTAATCATTTGTGAACGACTAGTTGTTCAGTCGGACATAAGTAGTAGTCCAAGAAACGATTAGTTCACGACCACGCCCACCAAGAAACGATTAGGGTTCAGGGTTCAGGGCTTAAACAAGAACGATGTTGGCCCTTTCTCGAGTCCGTGTGAGGTCATTAGTGCAGTTCGTCGCAGCATCGTCTTTGGCGGATGTGGGCGTCACCGCTCTGCGCGGAGGCGGACGTAAGAGGGTTGTACGAGATGAAGTCTTCCCTGAAGGACACCAAGTAGTTCTTGGTGCAGGTGGACAACAGGTCTCGCGTCTTTCTGCTGGAAAAAAGCTTGGTGGTAGAAAGGACGTCGATGGTCATGGTGCGAAAGAAGAGGTGGAGGACAACATAACCGGATCGAAAGATGAAGTTGTTCCACGACCAACTACTGCGAAGATGATGGAAGAAGTTGTAGAAGAAGTTGCAGGAGGTAGAGACTTTTCGTCATCCCAGCCTCGGTCTACAACAGGAGGTGGAACCAGCAGTCTGACTGTTGGGCCAACGACAGCGCCAGAAGCCCTCCTGACTCGTAGCTCTTCCGGTCTTGGGTCTGTCAAAACGATACTAGATGATGGATTTGTTGACCACAAGGAGGAACAAGAAGAAGGAGCAAGAGAGGAGCCATACCATCCATACCTTGAACAAGATACTCCTATTAGTAAAACTCCTTCCGAACTAGTACATGAAGATGTAGAAGAAGATGTTTTTGACAGTCTTGATCTTGAAGAGGCGCTGTGGAAACGCAGTTTGAGTGATCCTGGGAGATGGTCATTCGGACGAAGAAGAACTGATGAAGAAGAACTACACCAGCAAGGTCTTACCCACAACGATGTTCAAGAACAAACAACTAATGATGTGGAAGTCCTCCAAGTGCCAGCTTTCTTACGTACTTTAGAAAATGAAAAATTACTACCGCTTTCTCCAGGTGGCCAGTCCTCAAAAGAAACCTATGTGGTTCTGCACACCCAAACAAGGCGTCAGATCATGCAGGGTCGACCCTCTCTTGCTGAAGGGCAACCCTCTGCGGAAGGGAGCAGGGGAACATCTGCTTCCGTCCGCATGAATTTCCCCAACCCGCGTGCTACGTCGACATTGTTATCGAGTGAGTTTTTACCATCTGACTTTGTGCCCTTACCGGAACAGCTGATTGTGCAGAAAATTGCCTTTCTGTTTCTGAGGTACGCTTTTCAACAAAAGAATACGAAACACAACTACAAGAAGAACCAGGAGCAAAAGAAGCATCAAGAACAGGAGCTTTTGTTCGAGTGGAATAATCCGCAATGGGCTTCGGGCTTCTCGTCAGGTAGTGTCGAAGTGCTTGTGCGTCCGAAGTATCCTCGTAAGAAAAATCAACACCAAGGACACCATGTTGGGGATCATCGTCATGCCTCAACTGAAGATGAAAAGACCACTTTGCTGCAAATGCAGAAAGAAGTTATGGTGAAACGATGAAGTTGTTATCCATTATATTTTTAATATATCCCAATACAGAAAGACGAAGAGGAAGACCCATAGTTTGAGGTTATCGAATAAGTTAAAGAGTCCGTCGTGCTTGTGACTAGTCTATCCAAGCCTCTAATTCATCGAACAAGCACCTCTTTATGGCAGTCGAGCACTTTTTTGCTGCGGAAGAGGATGGAAATGGGATGGCAGCACTATCCGTATCGAAATCGAGTAATAATTCTTCTTGCTCTCAAGAAGAAGTACAACGACATCAAGTAGATGATTATTCCTCTTTCTGCGAGGACGGCATGGAACTTTTCGTTGACTCTGCAGCTCTGCCAGGATCGTTCTTTGATTTCCTGGCCAACGCTGTGGGTCGCCAGTACCACGCTGTATACGAGGACACCAAAGCAAGTAGCGAGGGGCACGGCAGGCCCTACAAGCCTGTGCCGACAGGTGAGGCCCTGACTTGGATTACAAGAGCGCTTGGAAGCAGTTTTCTGGATGAGATGGTTACTGATGCCCTATTCATTGACGAGGTGGAAAGGACTGTTAAGATGAAGACGCTAAGTGTTGGAGTCAATTTTTCTAAAAATTGAAATTGTCTAACTACTAGTCGCACGTGAAGATAAGTCCTGTACAGGTGAACGCATATTAAACCACTAAGCCAAGAACTGCCAGCAGCACTCTCAGATCTTGTCTTTGCCCACTCTCTAACTCTAGCGCCGTCAAGGGCGTTGTTCTTCCCGTTACCGCCAAACAGCTACGAGATTTCTATTTTGAAACTCTTTTGCCTTCTTTGCAGACTAGGGCAGCAAAAATCTGGGCTAACTTTGACGAGAACGCTCCTCGCGTCCGTTTTTCATTGCGATCAGCCGAGGTCATGATCGGACAACGAGTTTTGACTCGTCTGGTGGAAACGCCATGTTCATCTGCATCTTCACTAAGAATCGATAACGAGGACTTGCTTTCTGACATGCTCATGCTGATAAAGACAGCTTTCGAATACTACAAGGTACCTCCTCTCAGGATACATAGATGAGGCTAAAAATTGCTCTTCTTTTCCTTTTTTCTTTCCAACAGTAAACTGATTCGTACAAGAACAGGAGTGGTGCTCGTCTTCAAATGACTTATAGATACGGTTCTTAGTCAATCATTTTCCTTCCTTTTCCTTCCTCCCGCGACTACCTGTACCTTAAACGCGTGTCCAAACAGAACACCCTCAGCACCGATAACCAACCACTCACTCATAATTTGACAATTCAAACAGGACGCGTGTAACCACAACCTATGGTCGGATTTTGAGCATGGTATGGTCCCGGAAATCGTTGGCCTTTCTCGGACTGACGTTTGGGAAGCTCTCGTACGTGCCTTTGTCCGCATGCTTGAAGAACCAAATGAATTTGCCGAATTCCATTCTGCCGTCCACACCAGGACGAGAGCTTCATCTAAACGAGCTTCTACTTCCACTACGCCTACAGGAGGAGGCACATCAATCAGTATGAGCAGTGCTCTTGAAGAAAAGCACTTTGTTGCTATCCCTCACCTCCTACAGATGGTCGAAGCACAACTGGAGCTTGAGCGTGAGCGTGCTGGTGGAACTGCGAGGGACAATCCTTTCGCACCCCAAGGACGCCAGGAGGAGGAACGACGAGCAGCCGCACGCGCACGAGCACCACAGGATTATTCTTTTATGGCGCGCGCAAGGGAGATTTGGACCAATCGCAAAGTTTCGGCCCCCTACCTGACGCTTGGGAACTTGGCTGAGTTCTTACACGCTTTCATCACCGCGGTTGTGGAGCCCTTGTACACCAAATCGCTGTTTCTTGCTGCCAGTGCTACCACTGGAAAAGCCTTATGGTTCAATCGAATCATCTCCGAATCCCTCTACAACCTGTTCCCACTCGTCCACTAGTAGAAGTGCTAGTTGTATCTATATTAACTACTTAGTACTAGAAGTTGTACTACTCTCTAATTGAAATCCACGGAAATAAAAAAGCAGCAACACTGTCTCCTGATGTCTTGCGGCTTAGCACAGAGCGCTATTTGCTGCTACTGGACTGGGTCGCGGACACCACGCCTACTGCCGAGAGACTCCGTTTCAATGTGGCTACTGAAGCCAATTTGCTAGTACTCGGGAAATTGAAGAATTTAGCGAGTGTGGGAGAAAGTTTTTTGACGTACTAACTTCATTGTAATTTGTTTTTTTGATACGATACGCAAACGCAGCATACATAACTGTAAGCTGCTTTTGTCGTAGCTTTTTGAGAACATAATCGTTCCACCTGACTGCTTCTATTTTACTCACTCGTACCTTTTGCGTACTGTTATTTCAATCAATTTACATCACATCCAATGCAAAAAACAATATCACCAGGGAGAATCCGTCGCTGCCATCACTGGGCCAAACTGCTGTTGCGTCGTTTTCCTCAACTTCCGAACATCAAGGAATAATGAATCATGGAGATGATCCTGTACTACCGAATCCATTTTCGACATCGACTATGCCATTGGTGATCATGTACCAGCCTATTGACTTCCGGAGGCATGCTGGGGGTCTTCCTCATCCTGGTACTAACTTTCTACAAGATGTGGGTGGACAAGGACATGCAACACTCGGGTTACAAGCCACTTCTTCGTCTCCAATTAGGGGTATGAATTAAACAACCTATCAATCGCTAAACCCACACCTAGATAAAGTGCCTCTGCTTCCCTCTAGAAGTTCTATTATCATCAAACGGTTGATATTCTTCGAGTTCCTCAACTGCAACAATGTCTTGTTCTAAAAATAGAAATTCTTTAAGGAGATCAATTTCCTTAAGGAAGGCACTTAAGCAAGCCTCTCAAGGAGTCTAGAAAAGTTGCCTACACTATAAATAAGAACAAAAGACACCTCCAGAACAGGTAAATGAATGAATGAATGAATGAAAGCACTAATATCATGCATGGTCTGCCACTTCTAATCTTGGTTTTCCCCCCACCTCCTTGCTGGATAGTGCGGAGACATTACTTGCGAATGTGAATATCGAGGACATTAAGACGCCATCCGGTTCCGAGGCGGATAACGACGAATTTCTTGGAGCCCTACGAAACCAGTTTGAACAAGGCTTGAGGTTATCATCCTCCCCCTCACCGATTTTGGGAGGTGGTAGCAACACAGGTCCTGTCACGGTTTATTCACCGAGGAGCTGTACTAACAGTAGTGTTGGTCCTTCTGGTGGTGTAGTTGGTGGAAATGAGTATTATTCTGGCGAGTGTCCTAGTCCTACTGCCCCTAGTCCTCCAACTCAAAACAACTCTCGGAATTTAACGGAAGAAAGGGAACTGTTCCCGGAAGTTCACCACCCTCCAAACCCTCCAAGTTGTAAAAACCTGGAACAAGAACAAGTGAGAGTTGTTCATTACACAACCGCAGAAGAGAAATGGCTAGATCAACAGCATAGCGTTGAAGTTCGTGTGACAGGAGACGCATTGGCACTTACAGCTACAGCAGATGTTGAAGAAGATGGTGAGAAGACCGAAGAAGCAAGTGGTGGAGACGAGGTGGATGTCGTTGCACAAGAAAAGGCAGAAAAAGAAAAAATAGAAGATGAAGATATTGCTTCTCAACAATCTGAAGGTCGTCCGCAAAATTCTGAGTCTGAAGACATGCAATATCAAGATCAAAATAACAGTCGAAAAGATGAACGGTCGCAAGATGATACGCAAGCAGTTCCGCCAGCAGAGATGGAACAAAAACAAGGAAAACTACAATTCCCTCATCGTGAACAAGCAATGACGCCTCCTAGTTGTACCTGTCAGCCTCTCTCCACAACTTGTGCTTCATCGATTGATGATCGGACGAGCAAGAAAAAGTCTTTGTGGTCTCGTCCCATGATTGCTGTTGCGAACAAATTCGGGGCATTCGTGGATGAGGATAGGCATAACGACAGTGAAGAGAGCGACGGAAAGGAAGCGTCTTATGGTCTGCCGGATGAGCAAGAGGTAGAGGAAGGACCACATCTTCAAGTCTATAATACGCAAAAGCCAGAACAAGAGCAAGAGGAAGAGGACGTCTACGATGCTGAAAAAGAACAAGTAGAAGATGGCAACGCAAATGGTGCAGAAGATGATGACCTTGCATCGGTTGGGAAATCTTTCCAAGCAGTATCAATTTCATCGTCCGAGGCTGATAATATGCAGAAAGAAGGAGTAGGAAAAGCTGACAAGACGATGAGAGGTGGTAACGAGTTAGAGAAGTTCAATCACATCTTCAATCAAGTAGAGGAGAGTACAATGGGAAGCCAGTTGGGCGAAGAGAAGGAGCCAGAAGAGCAACCGGTAGGAGCAAAAGCGCACGCACGAAGACGTCGGGGAAAGAAGGCGAAGGGGAAGAAGAAAGTTGACGGAGCTACTCCTACAAATACTGAAATTAGCAAAGTAGATCACGCTTCTGGTTCATCTGGCTGGCCCGTCAAAGTTTCCTTGACAGAAGAAAGAGAAGCGCCTTCTAGGGCTCCAAGGAAAATGGGCCTTGCGCTAAACAAAGCAGCTGAGTCTAAATCTCAGGTACAGGGTGAGGAAGTAGTGGTAGAGGCAGAAAAATCGCAGCAAGATGAAGGAATGGCGGCTGCGCAAAAGCGTTTCATGCAGTTACAGCAAGATTTACCGCAGATCGCAGAAAGAGTCTCAATGATCGGGCTTTCTGCTCTAGAAGAGAACCAGCCAGGAGCAGCATCTACTGCTTCTACTGCCTCACGTAATAATGCAGCTGGTTTTTCTGAAAGGGTACAGGTCGAAAAAGGTACTCGTCCAGTGGTCCAAGTAGAAAAAAAGAGCCAAACAGGAACCGTTACGACTTCTGGTGCTCCCTCAGGCATGGCGACTAAAAAGCAACGTGCTCAGCTCTCCTCAGGTCTCCCCGAAACAACAGAATCCGAGGATGCAAGAAAACATGAAATTTTTCTAGGCAACCTTTGGACCTGTCAAAGGGGTCAAGATGTCCGCGATCCAGTCCTTGTCTTTCAGTGGATCCGCAGCCAACAGCGCGATGCCTGGAACAAGTTTCGAGGGTTGTGGGATCAGGGGTTGAGTTTATCCCGACATGGAGGTGTTGTGAAAGTTAAGGATGGAACGAAGACACTTCTCTTTCAAGGACCGTCCACTGAATGATAAAAGCAATTCCACTGAATGAAGATAAAAGTGAAACACAATCATGTCAAACACTATCGAACCCGAATCGTCCCAGCCGATCCGGCCTGGCCGCGGTGCAGCGGACCGTCAACCTTAGCCTTATAACCTTAACAAAGTGAAACACTAGAAGTTCTAGAGGATATTCTAAAATATATAGCTTTATAAGTACTTCTAACAAGATCAAGAAAAGCAAGACCCACATACTCAGACACTCGCTTCAGCAAATGTCGAGGCTGAACATCTTCAACGACGATGCGCGGATAACTTTCAGGAGTCATTTCGCAGCACCAGACAACTTTCAAGAAACATTGGTTTTGCAAGTTCCTCCAGTAGTTGGAGATGACAAGGAAGCGAAAAAGAAGATGAGCATGAGTTGTACTAGTTTGCCACCTCCAGCTCCACTTGCTGGTGTTGTTGGTTCTCCATCTAGTAGAGAAGCACCAGTTGCTGTTGGGACAACGGAAGCAAAAGCACCTTCTAGACCTGCTGTTGTTGCTCCTCCCTCGAAGAGACCACCTGCTGCTGTTGCCTCGTCTGGGGAACTACGAAAAGACGGAGGTATGCTGGAGATGCTGGAAATTGGTGAAAGCCTCGATGAGGGTAGCGATGTGTCGTCTGAAAGCGGAGGTATCGACATGTCTACAAGTACAAACACGCGCCCACCTTTTGAGCTTGCTGCTATCAAAAGCGAACAGGAACGCTTAACAAAACAGCAGGATGGCGATGATTATGAATCTACGTACTTATAGTGCTAGTTGTAAGTAAAATGAATGAATGAATGTAAGTAAGTAGTTTGTTAAGGTTTCTTGGAAACGAATAGCCAAAACCGGTAGTACGACTCTCCTGGTGCTCTGGAGGTACTGTATTACTGGATCATGGCCTCACTGGTAGACACTTATAGCTACATAAGAGGTGCCATGACATGACATGACCTAGACCTAGAGAAAGAGCACTACTCAAGTTACGGGTTTTGTCTCGATCTTGAAGAAGAAAACAAAAAAGTACTGGTATTCGTATTTCTGGATGAACTACTAGTACTATGTTGAGCTGCCTTGATTCTTTCTGTATTTCGTGCACTACACCACTAAGATTCATGAAAGACCTCTGTACTACAGCTTTTCTCTCTCTTTCCTTACATCTTTCCCTTCTGCTCTAACTTATACGTGGATACCATGCAAAAGCAGCTAACGTTCTGCACTGGATTATCAACCGCGTTCTAGATCTACTCACACAGAAAGAGTTCGCTACTCTCAAAGCGGATATCATAGCGGAAGGAGGAGAGGTCGAGCCAGACGTTGCTTAAGGCTAGTGCATAACTATCCGGGGTGAGGTACTGGTATCCTGATTGAAGAAGTCGAACAAGAAGTATACCTTGATTTATAATAAAGGTGAAACTCTCACTCTCTTGATTGATTTAAAGGGAGATCATGAACGCCGTTGATTTGAAGGGAACAAACGGAAAGAGGGCACCTCACTCATCAACTCACGCGTCGCCAATAGGGCACCTCAGTTATTAATGAAGGACTGTCTCTAAGTTGAAGAGGCACTCTTCGCAGATCAGCGACCGGCTTTTCTAGGCAGTCTTTTCCTTCCAGATCTCGTTATCCCTGCCTCACCAGACAAAGTGATCCAAACCGTTTTGGAGAGGTATGGAAAATTTCTAGAAGAAGAACACCAGAGGAACGAGAAGGAAGACGAAAGAAACGAGAAAGGTGGTGTTGACGAAGGCAAGTTGAAGTCCGAAGGCAAGTTGAAGTCCTTGAAAGGAGAAGAGCTGAAGCACCCGGTCCAAGGCCTGGAGAGAGTTGCAGCAGCAGCAGCAGCAACTGCTAGTGACCTAGTACTAGATCTTCAACATCTTCATGTGCACGACGCAGCAAAAGAATGCCTTGATAGAGTGCTTACCTATTTAAGGTCAACATTTACATTTAGTAGTCTCCATCTTGTTTCTCAGCATCTCGCCAGGACCCTTCTCCCTTCTGCTTGTTCATGCGAAACAAAGAGGTCGAGGAGATGAGGGGGTCGAGATGATTAAAGGCAGACTCTAACCTATGACGCCTCTCCACTAGTCTCAAATGACGGAAATGACGGACAAACGCGACGCCGCAAGGAGTATCTTCGATTCATGAGAGGCGAACCCAACGCAGCCGGGGAAGAAATGGAAGGGCCTGCACAGTTTACAACTCATGCGCATGAGCATTTGCTAGAGTTAAGGCTTCCACCTCAAAAACAAATTCATCTTGAAGGGCATGCTGTTTGGCAAGTCCACGTTTTCAAGACCATCGTGAACGATGGCAACAGGGACTACGTTGTTCACCTAGGATCAAAATAATGGCAGTAGCGGCTGCGTCTGCGACATTTGAACTAATTATATTTTGAAGGGGAAATAAGATGAAAGGTCAAGGATGCACCTCAGGTTGAATATTTACACAGTCTAATAGGAGCCTGGATTGAAGAAAACAAAGTCAATCCTGCTGTGGGATCTGAGGTACCGGAAAAAAATGCCGTAGCAGAAGCTCTAAGCAAAGCCGCGGAACATAGGAGGGTGGCAGAAAATGACCTGTACAATCCAGATTTATGTTGGCAACTTAAGCTTCACAAGTCGTTGCTCACGTCGATATCTAAGAGTGGAAGAAATATCGAAATTTCGTACACATTTAGTTACACATGCGTAGACCTCCACCTCACCTTGTTTGGACTTTTCTCGCTGCACCACGTTAGTTTTTTTTTGAATTTTTTTTCGGATTCTTGGTATTTTTCACCTACAAGCGACCGCTTCTCTTCTAATCCAAAAAAGTGGCGCAGCATTCTTCACCGGGATTACCTTGGTATTAGCCTTGTTAGGATCTGCATTGCAGAACCAACTGGATAGAGACGCGACAACCGATGAAGCTTATCGGAAAATCGCCCCAAGATTACACGCCTATTTGCTCATTTTACATTTATGATGAAGATAATACGTGATATTAGTTACAACCTCTACTGTTGTATTTATACTGCTTTATCGTTTTTTCTCTTCTACAAGCTTTGCTCGTTTTCAACAGGTACGGGACAAGAACTAGGGGATCATCATTAATTTATAGCCTATAACCTATACATAGATTCCTAGGTAGGTCCCGCGACTTTATGAACTTGAAGCAAAGCAACCTCCTCGCCGAAACCCCGGTACTAGAGTACCAGGTACAGCGGTCTCGTATGAGCCTTTGAGGCGAAGCGGTGGACCTTCCTCTTCTAATTTCTGCCAACATAGCGAGGACCCTGATCGCGTTTTTCTCGGTGCCTCTGTTAAGGCTAGTTTTTGACTATCCCATACGGACTATAGATGCTGAGTGATTCACGCGATCCCTGCTTTAGAAGGGGAAAGCGAAGGGGGGAGATGTCCTCTTTGCTTTTGCCTTGATGGTTCCTAGACGAAGAGGAACTACTCGTAGTGATTCACGCGCCCCCTGATTTAGAAGGGGAAAGCAAGAATGGGGAAACAAAGAGGGGGGTCTACTCGTACTAGCAGAGATAACCCACTCAACCAGGGATAGTGAGAGACTAGCGCTAACTCTGGACGTGGAGGCTATGCATTCTCCTGAGTTTGAAACCATGGCCCCTCGAACAGCACATGTCAAGGACATCGACAGGAAGTCCAGGAAAGAAAGTCACGCACGAGAGAAGGCTTTTCTTTAAGGCAAGAACCATGTTGTTTGAGTCTCATTGACAAGAACCATGTTATTCATTGTTTGACAGGAACCAACGTGGCCCATTTGACAAGAAGCAACGTGCTCTCATGCTGTTTGACTGCTCAGTAAGGTATAGATACGTATCACACATTGACAACAGCTTGAGATGAAGAACTATTTAAGATGATGTTGCACTGATGATGATGAAAACAATGCTCAAAGCTAAGTACCTCGTTCGCAGCGTGAAACTCGAACTAGTAGATTGCGATGCACCTCCTTTGCTACTTCTTGCCTCTTGTACCAAAAAATTGACTCAGGCGGTAGTCCAGGAAACTATTCGAAAACTTCTCAAAGTAAGCGAGTTACTGACTGAAATAAGAGAGTCTTGTTGACTACTTTCCTCTTCTTTCAGTGCTATCTCCCTTGCGATTTTCACTATTTACTTCCACGCCTCCTTCACCTTCTCGTTCTGCCCACCACTTCTCCGTCCACCTCTAAGCCCCACGCGAATATATCAAGCTCGGACGCGATTTGGCAAGCAAAGATATAACTGAACAGCTTTTTCAGGCTTTACGGACGCCTAGCAAATCTGAAAAACTGAGGAAGTCGGGAGAGAAGAAGAAATTTCTGGAACGGGAAGAAGAGGGTAAGAAAGACGTCCGTCGTTTAGAACAAACCAGACTTCTCGAGTCCGATGTGTGGAATACGCAAGTGAGGGACAACATTTAAGGATGAACTACAAGGATATTATCATGGTGAAGATGGTTTCTTTTTCTTAGTACCTATAGTTATTTAATTCACCGTCATAATAAGTCCTTTTTCTTGCTGTTGTGCCACACAGGCATATTGATACTGGGTTTGGGACTGCAGAGATCTTCTTGTGGCTCGTTAAAGATCCCCATAGTACGGGTAGTGCCATGGCACCCGTATTAGTAGTAGGGATGCCGTGACATATTCTCCTTCCCGTCGCCTTCCTCTTGCCTTACCCCTCGTCTTCTTCTTCCTTATCCTCCTTGTACTTCTGACATCAAAAAAATTGTTTTCAAGACCCTCCCCATCCTTTTACTTCTTCTTTTTTCCCTTATCCTCTTCTTATTCTAATCTCTCTTCAAACCAGCAATGCAGTTGTTGATGAGCCACCCCTTACTGATGTACTTGAGGACAACGCCATCGCCGCCAGAGAAAACGTTGAACGTGTTTTGGAAGTTGCTGAGAAAACAGGATTACACCGGAAACTATGCTGGTATTGGTATAACAGTTTACTTTACTATATCTGCAAGCGGTTTTGGTTTTGATAGGTGTAAATCTAGTGTACCCAGCACAACAAGGAGCACTACGTTCTTCGCTCCAAAGCTTATTTTACTATATCCACAACTTCTTCTATGTGCAGTAATATAGGACGACTACTACTGGAAACTTTAAATGAAAGGATCTACTTCTCTTGCTTAAGTATATTACACCTACTTGTCAAAAGGTTAAGTGAGAGTGACTAGATGAACTTCGAGTAACGTAATCCAATATGAGTGAGTGCGCCCTCACTGGGCTGGTGAATTAGAGTGTTACTCGAACTTGTTGACCTTACTCCTGGAGCATTCGCTCTGTGAAAAAATTGCATACTCGTCCCTCCATACGGCTACGTCTTCTACCAACAAACGCGCTCAGGTGGCATAGCCGATTTGGATATCCAAGGTGCTGGGGAACCGCAGCAACCAATGCAGACAAACGGGTCACTTCCTAGCTTGTCAGAAGGTTTGGAGGACTACGTGCCGAACTTCGACCTAATCTTATGAATACTCAGTATAATGTTGGTTCTTCCTCGTGCTTCATTTAATATAAGGTTTGTGAATATGAGCACCTCGGAATTACTGGTTTGTTCATCCTAAGGTTGTGGATATGTTGTTCATCCTCATACTCAGTATCTCGGAATTACTGGGTTGTTCATCCTAAGGTTGTGGATATGTTGTTCATCCTCATACTCAGTATCTCGGAATTACTGGTTTGTTCATCCTAAGGTTGTGGATATACTGTTCATCCTCATACTCAGTATACTGTTCCTCCTCGTGCTGCATCTAGAAAGTGTTCTTTGTGTTATAACGGGTACGGGGACGGGGTAAGCTATTTCTATAGCATGGCTGCTAATAGACACCTTCAAAGAAAATGAACCTACGACCAGCCTCTAATTATCTACAATAGTATACTCGCGCAACGGTGGCCGCTGTTCTATCGGGTGAGATTGCTGGGCAACATGAAAACCGTCATGCCCATAATATCCGACAAATCGTGGTCGGAGGCAAGCACATTTGGGATGTGGCAAGCGTTTAGAATTTAAGAAAAATCTGCAAACGTTTCAGTGTTTTATTGCTGCTTGTTCTCATCTTTATTCAATGGAGTACTTATAATCTTCTCCCTCTTCTAAGACCTAAACAACGCATTTCTTGGCAGAGTAGGCCAGGGGTCACAAGCAATTGTTCGCATTGAAGCAAAGGTTGGAAACACTGACAAAGCTAAAACGGAAGAGGCAAAAGAAATGACTGATGCCTTGCGAGCGTTTCTAGGAGGTTGGGACGAGACGAAAGGCCCCTTTTCGAAGGTGACTATTATGGCGAAATGCAATCGATATTGAGAATTGGTACGGGTACCTACTAGAAATTCTAAAGGTACTAGTACTAGAAGCTTCGTACTATAACTGTTGAAGGACGACCTTTAGTGAAGGTAGAAGCTCGTTTTCCAAAATTTGAATTTCTTATTAGAGGTAGAAAGAAGTAGAAGTTAGTTTTTCTTTTCCTAATCCTGGCGTTTCTACTCTCGAGGCTCAGAAAAATGGAGAACACGAGAAACGCACGACGGAAATGATCCAAGGATGGCGCAAGGAGTTTCTATTGCATCATATGAAAGCCAAGAACAATGCGTTGCAAACTGCGAGGTTGGATTGATGGGACGAGCCACAAGTGGAAAAGGAATGAAACGTATAAGTAGTGATAATCGATCTGATCGGAGAAGTACTAGAGTGTACTAGAGTGTAGTTCATGTTGTAATTATGATCATGAAGATTTTTAGCTAGAAAATAGTCAGTTGTAATCAAGAAGATGTCTCTAGTATCACTAGGAGCTGAACAAGGCTCTACGTATTAAGTTGCAGCTCTGCTCAATAGCGCCACAATGTAAAACAAAAGACTTCATACCTATAGACTCTATAGGAGTTGTAGCAAGAAGCCACCTCATTTTTAGAGCAAATATCAATCGAGAGTAGAACATGTTGGTATAATTTCTGGTTATGAGAAGTAGAATTTAAGATTAAGAAGATATAACGAGACAGGGACGATGGATGTGATTTTGGCTCGTTTCAAAAATTTAATACTAGAATTAATTGATGTCATCTTTCTTCTCCTGTTGTAAAAGAATAAGATTACTACCCCGAAGATGAAAATGGCACAACTTTTCGCAGTTCTATTCTATATTAACATGTAGAATAGGAATGTGAATATCCATTGTGAGCAGTTCGTTGTGTTTTCCACAAGGTACAACTTCATTGTTGCTTTGGAGCTTCTTTTATTGGAATCATGATCGTGGACATTTTTGGTATCATGATCATACTCCGTTTCAGAAGTCGTTGGCGCCTCGTTCTTGTTGTTTCCTGTCTGTTTGGTTGTTCGTCGTGGCCTTGTGCCGGTTTCTTTTCTTTCCAATCAAACCAGGGCTAGGAAGGGTTAGTGGGTACTTGATTGTTCATTCTTGACTTGATCATCTAGTACAGAATGGAGTAACGGCTGCGTCTGCAGTAAACATTTCAATATCTTTGTTCTTCTTGTTTTTCCTAGATAGGTTCCACGATAAGTTCAGTTTCAGAGGTTTCATCGTACTACTCCTCCACATAATTGACGATTTAACTGATGTCAGTGTCCTAGGAGAATTCTGCATAAGTCATCTGATGGGTGCCTCAGCAAAGTCAACTGCGGATATCCCTTGGTGTTGTTGTTTCTACAACAAACCACAGGATCTTTTTCGCAGGATCACAACGACAGGAGGACCTTGATGACTTCTCCACGTGGAGAAAAAGGATCATACAGGTCGCTTCTTCTGGTCTATGACGCTAGGGGCAATATCCGATGGTTATGCATCTTCTAGTTCTTGTGTAAAAAAGTGTGTAGAAGCAAAACGAAACGCGAAGAATAAGGCCACGCAGATGATTACAGGTATACATAACGAACGAACAAGAATCATTCGTCAACGCACCGCATAGACAAACAGAGAGATGAACCTACTTAGATGAGCATAATTTTCCTAACTGTTTGTTTAGGGTTTAGGGTTCGGCGCATTATATTTCCGAACTTCTGACGTGTGAAAAATTTCGATTTGACTAAATTGAGTGAATTGCAAGCAACTTCGTTTCTCCGCGTGCAAGGGCGTGAGAGAGCTGTGGATCGCTAGCATGTAGTAAGAGTGGGCACTCGAAAACTGAAAATAACCGAGTTACTGACAGAAATATGGGAGGCAGCTTTGACAGGCCTACTCTTCCTTGTTCAGTATCTCGCTTATTTTAAGTAGTTAACTAGTCGCGTATAATTTCAGTTTTTTATCGAATACATGACTTCCAACGCTGTATGAATGCGTGTTTCTTGCAGTTTACCTCCTACCAAAAGGAGGCTAGTATCTTTTCTCAAAGCGAGTGTGTTGGTTTCTAAAACATACTCGTGTTTTTACTTGAAGGTGCATGTTGTTGATGTTTTATTGGGATATAATATTCGTTGAATGATGCATGATTACATGAACATGCGTTGTAATGACCTTGACCGTAAGAACAAAAATAGCTTGACCGTAAGAACAAAAATGACACACTCCTGAGACTGAATCATGTCCAGCACCCAAACATTTTCCGTAGAAGAAACTACTAGTCTCGTGCTGTAGTTGGGTCTACATGTTAGCACTCAAAATTCAATGGTACGCATCTGAACGTTTCAGCTTCACCATTTGAAATGTCATTTCCCTCTCATATCCTTCTTATAATCGATTCGATCAAGAACAGAGATTTTTATTAGTAATATCATTCAACAACATCGGTTCGTCAGGAAGGTCCCTAGCGCCCGTACATCGGTGTCCATAGTGACAGATGGTAAGAGCGCCCGAGGGCGTATTACGTGCGAGGCGTTCGGGCCGCGCGCGAACTAATAATATTAGTATTTATATTAAGGCTCAGCTTTCAGTGGTCATTGGGGTTGGTCACTGAGATCCCTCTTGAGAGAACAGGGGAAAATGAAGGAAAAGCAAAGGGAGAGGCATGGGGCCCATTTCTTTCAGAATCAGTGACCATTGAGTGCTGAGCTTTAATTATAGTATTAGCAATTCCCAGAAATCTCTTAAGGAGCTTCCTTAAGGCGCTTCCTTAAGGAAATCAGTTTCCTTAAGGAATTTTTATTATAAAAAGTTATTATAACTTTCCTTAAGAGGAAAAAAATTCCCTTAAGGGGGTCCCTTAAGGACAAGCTGTTATAAACTTGGGCTAATAACAGCGGCTCCTTAAGGACCTCGCTAGTACTACGAGTTCAAAAGTGTCAAGAACGTGCTAACGTGTTCGCGGCTGTTAGTTTGTAGGCTACTCACGTACACCAGCCACATCTGCAGCAAGACACCACGCGCCCACCCCTAGCGAATCGCCCCAACGAACTCCCAACCGCTACCCTTGTCATATATCGCCCAACGCCTTTGCTTTTTTTCAAAAACTTCAGGGAGGTCATTCAAATACAGAGAAAACTGAACGACCTCCCTGAAGTTTTTGGAAAAAAGTTAGCTCGCTCCCCTTCCGCGACTACCTTCCGCGCACAGCAATCGACGGACCACGGCACAGGAGCGCGCGGCAGCCCTTGGAGATGGTTGACCAGTATACTCCTAACCAGCACAAAAGCGGGAGAATTGTAAGGGAGAGGGTGAGCACTTGAAAAGGCAGAGGCTGACGAGCGTGATCATATTGATTCACGAGAAGGCCAACGACATACATCTCGGCGCGTCAAAGTCGCAGCCGTTGAGGATGTCGACGGGTGTGAGAATGATAGCCGTGCGCACTTGCGTGTCTGAAGGGTGGACCCTGGTGAGCATCATCATATCCATGAGAAGGCCAAAGGTGTGCAAGTTTGCGCGTGAATGTCGAAGCCGTTGAGGAAGTTGATGTCTGTGAGAATGATAGCCGTAAGGACTTGCGTGTCTGAAGGGTGGACCCTGGTGAGCATCATCATAACCATGAGAAGGCCAAAGATATACATCTCTGTGTATGAAAGCCGAAGCCGTTGAGGATGTCGATGTCTGTGAGAATGATAGCCGTGAGGACTTGCATGTCTGAAGGGTGGACCTTGGTGAGCGTCATCATATCAACGAGAGGGCCAAAGACATACACTTCTCTGCGTGTGAAAGTCGAAGCCGTTGAGGATGTCGATGTCTGTGAGAATGATAGCCCTAGCCGTGAGGGCTTGCATGTCTGAAGGGTGGACCCTGGTGGGCATCATCATATCCATGAGAAGGCCAAGGGTATGAATCTCTGTGCTTGAAAGTCGTAGCCGACGCTGAGGATGTCGATGTCTGTGAGAATGATAGCCGTGAGGACTTGCATGTCTGAAGGGTGGACCCTGGTGAGCGTCATCACATCCATGAGAAGGCCAAAGATGTACATCTCTGTGCTTGAAAGTCGAAGCCGTTGAGGATGTCGATGTCTGTGAGGGTGATAGCCTTGAGCACTTGCGTGTCTGAAGGGTGGACCCTGGTGAGCGTCATCATATCCATGAGAAGGCCAAAGGTATACAGATTTGCCTGCGAAAGTCGAAGCCGTTGAGGATGTCGATGCCTGTGAGAAAGTGGATAAGGGTGGACCCTGGCGGGCGTCATCATGTCCATGAGGAGGCCAGGCGCATGCATCTCCGTCGATGCCTGTGTGTGAGAATGATAACTGTGGGCCATTGCATGTCTGAGGCGCGGACCGTGGTGGGCGTCTTGCGTCATGTCCATGAAACAGCCAACCTTATAGACACATCCCCGCGCCTGAAGGTTGGGGCCCAGCTTCTGGCTCTGCGCATAGATATGCCCAAGCCGGCGTGGCTTTCTCATGGGCCTCGTCCATGACGCTCGCCAGTGTCAGCCTTTTGCCATCCCATGGGTATGCGATGCTTTAGGATTCTCCTGGACATGATCACACTCAAAAGGGCCCAACCTCTGTGCCTACATATGTCCAAGCGTGGCCTTCTCATGGACTCCATGACGCTCAGCGGGCCAGCCTTGGCGCCCATTGGCTTGCCCCTAGCAAGCAAGTTGGCCAAGGCAGTAGCCATAGCGGTAACCCCCTCACTAGCCTCGCCACATTGGGGGCCAGCTTCGCAGCCTTGGCGAGCAGACTTGGCGGCTTTTTTCGTTTGTCTTTCTGTCTCTTAGTAGTCAACCTGTCTAGTTGTTAACCTATGCCCAGCGCAGCGGGCCCTTGATGGGCCCGCTTTCTGGGCAGATGGTAAGAGCGCCCGAGGGCGTATTACGTGCGAGGCGTTCGGGCCGCGCGCGAACTAATAATAATAATAATAATAATAATAATAATAATCATTACCTATGTTGAACATGATAGATTTTGGTTCACGCAGGTTCTTTTACACATCGAGAACAACGGATGCTCCACCTAATATATTGTATCGGAATATAGTACTAAGGCATACGAAATCTAGTGATAAAAGATAGACTCTTACTCCAACATGGACGACTGTGTCGTCCTCCAAAAATATTGACATCGTGATCATGTTGTGAGTTTGGATTTTCTCTCCTATTTACTAGAAGGTAAAAATGAGGTTGGTATCTCGATGGTATGAATGATCTTGCACCGAATATGAGTTGAGCTGAAAAATATTCAACATATGACGGAGAACTTAGAAGGGAAACATGACGTTGACGTCCTAGGGACACACACGCTCTGCTTTCGCAACATCATGCACTGCGTGTTCTTTGGTGCAGGAAAAGAAATTCCAAAAAATGAGTGAAAAAGACAGAACATGTAAAAGCGAAAATGAGGCTACTTCCACTCAAAATTACAATTATGAACGCACCACAACCCTCGTCACAAAAAAACTTACTAGCACTATCTTCTGCAAGACGAGGAGTAGCTAGAACCCACGAAAAAAAAGGAGCGTAGACCCAAATAGAAGAGTCTTCACATCACAAGAAATGATCATGATCATGATCATGTTTATTCAAGAGACCCATACCTCCCGCGCCTAACAAGATGATGCAAAAAAAACCGCCCTCTTTCTCCGCACCCAAACCGACTGTTCATACACTTCGGAATGTGCAGGATCTCGGACAGCCATTCGAGGCTGTAGATCCATTCGTTTTTGCGACGTTCCATGAACTGGACGCGGTTCCAGAGAATGCGGATGCGATAGGCCGGCTCCCCTTTTGCGGAGTCGTTTGTTGTCCTGTTTCTGATGGCGAGGATGACGAGAGCAGTTCGTTTCCATCTGAGGATGAAGACGGAGGACTCGGACAGCTTGAACTTGATTTGGAGCCCATAGCTGATAAATCGACGGCGCGATCTAAAGTCCTGGAAAAAGAGCTTGAGAGGCAATCTCGTGCTCCTGCTTCTGCTGGTGCGAACAAAGGAACAAGTGGCGAGACCGTGTCTAAGCAAGGCAGTGCTACTAGAACTAGTGGTGGTCCAAAGGCGAAAAGTAGTGCGACGCCCGTCAATCGAAAGCAATCTGGTACTACCAGAACATCTGAGCCAATGTTGATCAAACGGAAACGAAAGAAGGAGCACGCACCTACTTCTGGAACAAATAGAGGCAGAGGGACATCAACTAGTACAACTAGTCCAGCCTCAAGAACCACCAAACCTCCACTGAAGCCCCTGCTAATGCCAGGCTTTCCTTTATTAAGGCTTCCGCTAATTGTCCACCCTTATGTGGATCATACATGCCTCAAACATATAGATACAAGGGTACGAAAACCACACGCATACTCATGGCCACTCACGCTCGCTAGCTTAGCCACAGCCAGCTTGCTACCTTAGCCACAAGACAGCGACAGCGAGCCCGCTTGTTTTGCCATGAGGGGCGTCCACGATAGTCCGTTCTCCTGAACCAGCCGCGCGTCGCTAGCTTGGTGACTTAGGGGCTTGCGTCGTAGTCTTATCCGTCTAGTTTGTAACCTATGCCCAGTGCGGCGGGCCCTTGACGGGTCCGCTTTCACGCGCATACTCATTGCACGGGGGTGGATATCGGGTAGCTCTAACTTTACATCCTCACTACGGGGTAGACATCGTCACAATGGTGTTACAAGGTCACATTGACCACGCAGACAGCCTAGGGAACCAAGCCCGCATCGGCCAAGGCGACGTTCAATGGCTCTCTTGTGGATGGGGAGATGAAATTATGGCACAGTAGTTTGAAAGTCAACCACCTCCATTTCAGCGCTTGGCATTGTCCTGCTACACGTGCAGCCTTCAACCGTACAAAAAAACGCCACTTAGACGTACGAAAAGCGCACGAAAAGCGTAGTAGGAACTTTTTATACTTAATACATGGTATCTGCATCATCCTCTTCTAATAGAGGACATCATCAACAAAGTTCGTATCTTCATTCATCCAAAGGGAAAAACCTCTGGCGTTTTTCAGTCCCTGATGTTCCCCGAAGTGCGAAAAAAGTTGCAGCGTTCGCATAAAGCCAATGCATTGAGAGTATTGCAAATCTGGTTCCGTTTGCCTGCAGCAGCTTTTGGAGTTGGGGTACAACTACTTGTGTTGACCTAGAAGTAGCATTTCTGATGCCACAAAACAAGATCCTCATTTAGAATAAACCTTGTCCACGTCCACGGCACCACAGCACCGCGCCGCTTCGTACGCTCTGCATTGGGCCGAAGATGTGCCGACATTGGATCGCAACAGTACACGTGTAAGAGTTCTTGCCGGCAGGTGGGACCGCAAAACTGGAGACGCAATGGCCAGAGACTTTCTGCGGAGTAGTGGAGGCTCGCAGCAAGATGCGATGGATGAGGAAATAGACCAAGATCATTACGGGATGAAAAAATCAAGTGTTTGTTCTATAGACAAGATTGAGATTTCATCATTTGACAGGCTGTTCTTGTTGTTGTTTTCTAATAGATGGATTTATAAGGACTCGAAGGAACGCAAAAGGAAGTGGATCCACTATAGATTGCGCTAGAAGAGGCCATAGCCAACTCATGACATGATAGAAAATGTGCCCTCTTCTAACATTTCCACGCTCCCTCACTAGTACCATCAAGCATTCCTCTAACATCCCCACGCTCCCTCACTAGTACCATCAAGCATTCCTCTAACATCCCCACGCTCCTTCACTAGTACCATCAAGCATTCCTCTAACATCCCCACGCTCCTTCACTAGTACCATCAAGCAATTTGGAGAACAATCGTGCCAATCGAAAGCCTTTCCCCACTGGGTTAACGTCCGCCGCAGCTAAGCAGGACTTTGCCAAGCCTCGGAAGGCTGGGAAACTACAGGATGCCCTCTGCGGATTCGACTTAGCGCCCCAAGATCCGACTATGGGTATCTTTGTAATCGAGCTGTTCTGGCGAGGAGCCCAAGTGGCGATTCCACCTGTGACGCATTTAGTACACAAAATGAGGGATGAAACGGCTAAAAATGGAAGTGAAAACAACACCAATAACAACAATGTTGGAGTTATTAAGGCTTACAATAATTCATCTGAAGGAGCATCTTTGACCGCTCTCCTGAGGGGGAAACACGTCCTCAAAGATGCTCTTTACGATGAATAAAGGGGAGCTCTAATGGAGGTTCCGACCACGACGTTAAACGAACGTTGTACATGATCGAGGGTTCAAAACTACAAGTAGATTTTGGTCGGGTTACTATTGCGTCTTCAACATCTACCTCCGTCTCTAGTAGAACGAGAACGTCTAGTCCCACTAGGTCACCATCGTCTAGAAGTCCATCGTCATCGCAAAAAACTAGTACCATTCGTTGTGGTAAACAGCTTGACTTGTCTCCAGTTCAAGTGTGCCATGTTCGCAACGGTGGAGACGATCCTGTCTTTATGAAACGAAAATCTCTTATCATGATTATCAGATTTCTTCAATAGTAGAAAAGCATGATAATGATTTGATTTAGTAAAAAGTAGATTCTCGTGTCATAATCTTGTTGCTTTTGCTGCAAGGCAGGCCCATACGAGAACGCACGCAGTGCCAGTTTGGCCCTTTGGTTTGCGGCAGCAGAGAACGATTAGTGCAAACGGCGAGGAGGATGCTGAGTAAGCCTGAAGAAGAAGGAGAGGATGGTGGTGCTACTCTCGCATACAGTAGTGGAAGGAAGCAACATGCTATTAAGCCTCAAGATCCCAGCAATCTGTATTCTTGGCCATTTTCACCAGATACAGAGGTATCATTTCCGTACTCCAAAAGCAGATTTTGGAAGTTGCCAGATGGCACCGAACGATTCCCTAAGAATTTAGACAGCACTATTGAGCCAGAGCGCCGTAAAGAAGCTAATGATGACCCCTTTGAGGAGGAAGGTCAGGCTGGTGGGTAGTTGGGAAGGTACAACTCCGGCTCTGAGATGCAGATGCTACTGGCAAAGAAGAATGGAAAAACTTGATGTTTCATTCACGATCACACATCCAAGATGAACAGGATCGAATTCCATAATTTTTGCAAAACCAGGCTCCCAAGTGAGAAGGAAGAAAAAAATACCGATTGGGATTGGCAATGTAGACTCGTGCAGTAAGATTAATAGTGTGTCACTAGCTGAGTGTTCGACCCGAAAAATCGTTTGAAAAGCTCGACGAGAGACACAAAGACAAAAGTGAGACACTGTCGACCACAAAAAGGAATCGGATGCGATGAAGAACGCTTTGCCTAGCGATAGCATGTCACCCTTTGTTTGCAGCAAAATCAACCCCAAAAACCTAGAACCAATCGCGGCATAGAAAACGGAAACGTCAAAAATATCGCAAATAAAGACAGGCCTTCCTCCATTGTATCTACGTGTAAGGAGCACAAAGAAAAAATGTTGTCTACCTCTGCTTCCCAGCAGCCAAATGCTGCTCCAGCACCCTGGAGCTCGAAACTGAGTGCGTATCTCTCCGCACACGAATCCGACGGCACAGAGGTACCAGTAGCACCGCCTACGCCTCATGAAGACTTGGGATTTTCGACACGAAGCCCAGGTTCAATAAGAGAGCAGATGGAAAGAGGTTATTTTGGTGGATGTAGTTCATCTTGCGGCGCAACCTTTCTGGGTAGCAGTAGTTCATCTTGCGGCGCAACCTTTCTGGGTAGCAGTAGTTAAGGCTTCAGGTCATCCATCTCCAGAGGCATCCTGGGACCTTCCTCTAAGGGAAAAGCAAGCCCAGGATGACACTCAAGATGGATTCCAGGAAGCTCTAAAGTAGTGCGTCAGTATCTTCAGGTGGGCAGAAGAGATACATCAACAATCGTGCCAAAAATGTTAGAGGTGCTACAACTTCAAAAATATCTTCATCTGCTGCTCCAGTTTCTTCTTCTTTTGCTAGAAGTACTATAACATCGAAAAGCAAGAACTGCGCAAACGACACCGCTGCTCCTTCCTCAAACCTAGAACGCAAAGGCGACGTTGAAGAGCAGGAGAAGAATTTCTATGTTGCTACATTAGCAGAGAAATTCACACGCGAGGAAGAGGAAACTAGAGCTTTTTTGGCGCGCTTTAGGAGGCATCGGACTACAACTGCTAGTACAAGTCCTTTGAATACAACTAGTACCTTGGATGGGTCGACTGCAGTAGATGGTACTGGGGAAAACGGTTTTGGCGAGCAGAGTCAGACAAGTATGCGTGTAAACATCGCGGGTAGCATCACAGGGTCATCGCCGGTGACGAGAACCAGTGCAAGTGTCTCAGGATCGATCTCTTGTCCGCCTTGGCAAGTGCAAGAGTCAGCAGGGTCTCGGCAAAGGAAACGGCCTACAAAGATGAAGAAGGAGACAATAGTGAAAGGAGCAGAAGTTTCTACTTTGCAGGAAGAAAATGAAGATCATAGTCACCTAAGCGTAAGCCTACTGCAACCCATTAGTCAAGGAAACGGTCCGAAAATACTTCTTCCCCAAGAAGACACCATTGATGAAGAGGACTCTTCGAGTGCGACAACATTACTAGAACTAGCATCTTCTCCAAGTCAAGCCGCTTCTCTGAAAGAATCGTTGATGGAAGAGTATAGAGCTGGCTTGAATTCTCTTGCAGTTCGTGCCCCTCTACGAGTAGCTATTGTGGACAATGATGAAATTTCGCAAGCTCATCTAGACCAAGCAGCACAACAAGAAGAGGAGGAGGCGGAGGAAGAGGCGGAGACAAGTGAGGACGAGGACGAGGCCAGTGGTACCTGTGCGTTGGAGGTGTATCCTCCAAAAGAAAGAGCAAACAACATAGCAGCTACAACAGCGACTTCTAGACATCATCATGGAGTTAATTCTACAACAGCTAATTCTACGACAGCCTCATCTCTGCATGTCGTTCCCCCATCAATCATGAATGGTGCACAGTCTTCCTCCACTATGCCATATCCTCTTGCACCTCAGTTGAATGTACTCGAGCAACAGACGAAACCGAAGCTCCATGCTCGTCAAGCACCTGGTGGAGGAAAAACGAGGCCTACCAAAGCTTCTAGTAGTTGTACTCGAAGTAGTGGTAGTCCTCTGGAGTATCCTTCCACTAGTATAGGAACTACAACATCAAGCTCTGTGGTAGACCATTCTTCTTCTATGACTAGTTGTGCTGGAATACCCAAGTTGAGCGAGCCAGCCGGTTGCTCGATGCCTGTCGGTGCATTGGCAAAAACTTCTACAAGGGGAGCGTCAGACGGTGGCAGCCTTGGGATGACACCTGCAGGAGGAAGTAGATCATCGATGCAGCTGTGTGCGTCGAGAAATTATACTCCTCTGGTTGGGATAAACGACAGCATCCTGAACGGAAGCGGGCGGCTGACAACGGGCGATAGGAGCACTCTCGAGATGGAATTTGAGGCGATGAAAAACTCCACTGGAAACTACATGGCGGGATTTTCGTCTAGTACTGCGATTACAACAACTAGTAGGTGTCTTGCATCGGCAGCAGTACCTGGTCCGCCTTCACTTGCCTCGTCTTCGTCGTTTACGGCTAGTAGTCCAACGAAAACAGAACGCGTGATCTACGCGCGAGAGTCGACCGAACCTTGTCATTCACTTTCGCTTTTCGGCGGTCCGAGGACGATTCCACATGTTCTTCCAGGTTTGACAGCATCATCTATTTCTTCTAGCTCGTCGTCTACGAACACTGCAGCAGTGACATCACTGCCTGTAGCAGCATCTTCGTCTTCGTCCACCTCCACGCAAGGAATGATATTAAAGACCCCTTTGCCTGTTGTACAAGTACATCCTGATCCTGGTGAATCAGCAGCTGCCGCATTGTACAGGCGTAATCAAGAGTTATTGCGGAAAACCCTACGCGAAATGGATGACGAAGATAGTCCTGTGAAAGTAGACGAAGATGGTCCTGTTGTAGATCCAGCATTGACAAATGATGTAACAATGACCGATGCAGGCGGTCCAGTCAGGGGCGCTCCAAAAGAACCAGAACTAGTACCTCTCAGCAAACTACAAGGTATGAGCATTGGTGGAACCAGCACGATGATCGAGCTAGTAGAGAACGATAAGGCAGCTAATGAAGACAACATGCAGGAAACCCACTCAATCCACCAAGCCTCTCTCGAAGCAGATGCAGATCATGACATGCAGGAAGCCTTAGATGTGAAGTCTGTCACGTTCAATATGAAAGCGAGTCAGTGTCAGAAAACCCTTGCAGAGATAACGCGCTACTGTGAGACGCTACAGGTGAAAAAAGCTACTCTGAGATGCGAGGAGGATTTCGGCCAGTCGCTAGTAGCATGTTTGGAATTGTCGGCTGCTTTGAGACGGAGTTGAGCTGGTCGTAGACTAAAGACAAGGAGCTTAACCTTAAGCTATTGGTATACTAAAACGAGTACGAAACGTCAACTAAGTATTTGGTTGCGCTAGATCGGTATATTGCATTGTTCTTGATTGAATATATTTAATAACTTCTACACTGTATTAAATTTGTCGAACTCGATCTCAGTACTTTATCTTGTGCTTTGATTCTAAACGAAAATTAAAGATACGGAACAGATAATCCAACGCTGCATTTCAGTAGAATTTTCGTTTTTCTCTGCTGTAAACGAAGATGCGCGTCTCCTTGATGTTGACCTTCGCGTCCGTCTGGTTCCGGTTTTATGTGTGTTCCCTTGTCGAGTGCTGGAGCATGCGAGATGGTGAGCATGATGGTGAGACCGTCGTATATTTATATTAAGTACCCACCCAGTTCTTCGTCTTCATGAGTTCTTCGTACTCTATTCTTGTAAGTCGAAACTCTGATCTTCATGCTAGAAAAGTACCTACTCTCTCTCCTCTGCAGGTAGAAAAGCCTAGTACCTAAGTAGGTGGCACTCCCAAGGAGAACTACGAGAACGCGCGTCGGTCGTAAAGAAATCGTGCAAGGAGTGGTGTGCACGTCATCAACCCAAGTACGTATGACCTACAAGAAAGACGCTGCAATAATGATGAGTACTTCTTCTTGTGAAAATGAACACCAACACTTACAACATTTAATATATGAAGTTGTAATCGTCGCAACACAAGAAGGACAAGGATGACGGTGCTTGATCAACTGGTTCCCGGCACAGCGGTGTGGGTCCCTGATGCAGAAGAAGTCTGGGTAGCTGCTGAGGTCTCGCCGAATGAAACAGTGCGAGTCGGAAATGCTACGCCAAGACCATTGAAGAAGGGGGAAGTGGTAAGTACTCTTATGAGTATTGTAGCTGTGGGAAGTGGTAAGTACTCTTATGTTGAGTATAGTTGTAGCTGTCTTTTTTCTAGTTAGGTCGGTACTCTTATCATGAGCATAAAAGGTTCACATCCGGAACGTGGATCCATCGACCGGTCGTGACGTCAGTAATGTCGAAGATTTGGTCCATCTATCGCACTTGCACGAAGCAGCACTTCTGCATGTATTGCAGGAAAGATTCGCAGCAGATCAGATCTACACTTTTACTGTTATGGCTTTGGTTATCCTTATCTTGTGATTCTTTTTGGACTTGATGACTCCCAACGCAGAGAGACATCGACGTGTTTCTGGTGATGCTGAATTTTCATACTTGCTAAGAATCAGAGAAAAATATCCCGCTCGTACTCGATCTTTCAACATCGAAATCGAGATATGAATACTCATTCCCAAAATCCTTACGCCCACTCTAATCTGCGATCCATCCTTCTCGCCGTGAACCCTTTCAAGCAGATCCCGAACCTCTACTCTCCGGAGTTAATGCATTCGTATCTGACCTACGAACCCTATGTGGTAGACCTAGACACAGGCTGTGGAGCTGGCGACGCACGAAACTCGCATCGTCCAAGTGCTCGAGTGAGTATATCCAGCAATGCGGCTTTGCTTGACGTTGCGCGACTGTCCGACAGAGGCTTGTTGGACAAGGCATTGGATAGGGTGTCGGGAACGAAAGAAGGTAGCATCAAGCAATGGTTACACCTGCAAGAAGTTACATATGACATAAGTACAAGCAAGGTTATTAACAAGCAATACTTACAAGATGTTCCATGTTGCTCTTAATACTGCATAAGTATCTACTCGTAAACCATTTCCATTAGCATTAACACGATAGTGCTTCACTTGTTAGTATGAGGCGTTTGCCACGACATTCTCCAGTCTGACTGCCTCCACTTTTCGTATGAATCTCCGGACAGGCAAGCAAATGGGAATCCGCGCCTCTATCTCCAAGAAAGCTTGGGTCCCAAGCACCTACGCCACAGCCGCGAGAGCCTATAAGGGCATTTTGGATAGTAAGAAGAGTCAAGTGGTCTTGATCAGTGGTGAGTCCGGGTCTGGCAAAACCGAGACAACGAAATATGTCATTTAAGGCCTTCCACTTTGCAATCTATCCTGCAGACTAGTGCCATTCTTGACTTGTTTTCCAATACATAGGAAAGAAACCAAAGATGTTGGTTCTTGTTTCGCAATACATAGGAAAGAAGTCAAGGTTGTTCTTGTTCGGAAGATGAATGCAATTATACCGCAAGAGCGACTAAGTTATGCGCTTCCTCGTCCAGGCAGGGCCACTACTACAGTGCAACGTGTTGCATGGTGGATCGCCGGCGAAGAACACTGCCAGCGGGTCGATCTTATCTGGTGCCGGCGCGTCGATCATATCAACAGCAGGAATATCGACATCGGGAGGATCGATCACAGGGTCACTTTTATGAGCAGGCTAGTGATATTGATACTTGAGGATAAGGCAAGGCCTAAGGCGTTGCCTTGTCTAATAGTTATGATGACTATAATTTGATTATACATATAGTATCTCTGCACAGATCTTTCTGCGAGATTCATTGATGTATTGCAGTTCTGTCCAGTGCTCCATTGTGTTTCTTCCACTGAATGGATTGGAGTAAGTACAAAAATCAGGTATGATAAAGCCTTTTCGTAGCCCTCTACAACGACCATAAGAAAGACATAGACCGAACAGCACACTCATGACGATCACATCTACCCTTCATACCCTTTCGAGCCTCGCAGACGAAGACGGACAAATTGGGACAAGGTTCGCCGTGCTGTCCAGTCCCTTGGCTCCCATGTAGACAACCAAGTTTTACAGACGAATCCACTGCTAGAGGCCTTTGGGAACGCCAAGACCTTGAGGAACGACAACAGCAGTCGGTTTGGGAAGTTCATAGAACTGCAGTTTCGCCAAACCAGACTTAGTGGAGCAAGAATTCTCACTTATCTGCTGGAGAAAGTGCGGGTAACAAAGCAGATGCCGGGAGAGCGGACGTTTCATATCATGTACCAATGCACGAAAGCCGCACAGGAGACCACCTTATGTTGATGTGCAGCGCGTCCTTAGTTGTACTTAGATACTTAAATGTTAGTTTAGGAGCTTTCTTCAAACTGTGTGTCAGCGACTCTATGTTGACCTTTTGCTTTACTGGAAGAAAAAGAGGTAGCTTTCTGTTCCAAGAACAACTGTAGCGTAGTTTATGATAAAGATAATGCCTACCCCTACGCCTACCCCTACGCTATATTAAAGGAAAGTCACAACTGCCTTCTCGACGATTTAATGTTTGAAATTGATGCTGATGGTCTTGTCGAAATACTAGTAAGTTTGTGCACATTTCAGGAGGTGGACTCAAGGCTCTAATTTCCAAAAGTTCGAAGGAGTCTGCAAATTATGGAAAGTATAAGTTTCCTCGGCGCCTCGCTTTGTCAGACTTCGAGGAGAATCCTCAGCCCACGCCATGGGAGATCGACTTGACGCCTTTCGTAGATATCCCACCGCCAACAGCTGAGGCTGACGACGTTGGATCCTGTGACCTAGTCGACTTTGAGCACACGGTATTTGCGCTCCAAACGATCGGGCTAGACCAAAGTGAGCTAAATGACCTGCTGCGCTGCATCGGGGCTGTACTGCGCTTGGGCCTACTGCAGTTTGAAGGTAAGCACTTTTTCTTGGTATTGTTGTAGCACTAGGTTTTGCTGGGCGGCATCATAACTACCGCGCGAGGAAGACTAGTTCCCGGCACACATCGTCGCACCCCCGAAAGCAGGGGGGCCGTCGTAATGTTCTGAACACATGACAGACAGGAGCAGCGGCGAGGCGGCGGCCCAGCTTCGAGGGACTGCGCAGGGGTTTGTGACTGAGCACGGTGGCCCCTACAACAGCAAGAGCGGCCACGGCAAGGATGACGGGAAAGGGGCCTCGTCTGGTGTCGCAGGTGTTCGCGTTGTAGCAAGTGACGGCCGTCGCTGATCGCTGAGCGGCGGCGCTGCCCCGCAGGCCCCAAAATGCTGGCCCCGCGTGGGTCTGCTTGTAGCAGACAACGTGACCAGAGCGAAGGCCGGCGGGCTGCAGACTCGCGCGCTGTGACTATTGTGCAGGCGTTGCGGCTAGCGCTGCGTAGACTAATCCGCGCACCTTCGCCCCTGGTCGGTGTCCTTACTGGCCAGTTGTATGCCGACCCCCTGACTGCTGACAGCTGGCCCAAGTAGTCGCCAACGGAACGGGGGCAGCACTCTATGAAGGAGCGGGGTGCAGCTCATGTGTGTCACCGCATCAACGGGAAGCAGCGCGCTGCTTATTGTTTCTCTTGCTTTTTCGAGAAGGGAGGCTAGTGCTATCAACTTAGCAAATGGCGCGACTCCGCGAGGCATGCGAGGGCCCTCCTAATGAGGGCCGCCGGCGTCTTTCTCAGTTCTCACTTATCTCCCACTGGTGAGTTTGTAGATGGTCCCGACCCCAGCGCCACTTGTTTGCACAGCGGTCGGAAGCCGCTCGAAAACAAAGCGCGAAGGCGTTTAAGTTTCGGCCTTTACCGTTCAATCTCGCAAATGGGTCCTCGCTTTCGCATCACTATGCAAACAAAAATCAGGTGGGGCTGACGACAGCAGTTTTTCAGAGGGAACTCGTCGGCATGGAGCTTACATCGCGGAGCACTGCCTTGGACTAGAAGCCGACGCCTTTGAGCGAGCAATAACTTCGCAGTATATCATCATATGGCCCCAATTCTGTTTGTTCATTGACGGAATTGAAGTAACTTAGTATTAATCAAGACGCAGACGCTTACGCCAGCTTCTAAATCATCCAAGTCCTTCTATTGTTCTTCGATATTGTGGAAACTTCCATTACTCTATTTTTTAGTGACCACACTGGGCTCAAATGTGAGTAGTGATGTTCTCATCGACACACTACAACAACAACATGAACAACTATCCAACTTGCTTACTCCTATTCTCTAATCTCGACGCCCAACGATACCTTCACGAAGCGGAACTCCATCCAAAAAGCGAAGGAGACACTGGATAGCTTTGCGAGACATTTTTACTCCCTACTGTTCAATAAGATGGTCGCACAAGCAAACAGCTCGATTGGGTACGTGCCAGGGGTCACAACATTCATCTTATGTTGGAAGAGTGAAGATGTGCCATAGACACTCTCTGATGTGGCCAGAAGTTATAAAAGTATCAGATTCAGATTTGAAGGTCCTCGGTCTTGCTCGAAGACTGTAGTAGTACTGATACCCTGCTCTGGATCTAAAGTACCTCCTGCATATATCATGTTTTTTCGAAAGTGCTCATCTTCTAACCTCCGGCGTCTTAGACATCTTTGGATTCGAATGTTTCCAAGGCAACCATTTTGAGCAGCTGTGTATCAACTATGCAAACGAGCGGTTGCAAAAGCACTTCAACAATTTCGTTTTTCAAGAAGAAGCGAAAATGTACGCGCGTGAAGGGGTCGATTGGCGACGATTAGACTTCCCGGATAATAGCTCGATTGAGGCTTGGACTCATAGTAAGTACAAGAACTTCTTGATGGTAGTTGTAGAATAAGTTCTTTAAGTTGAGTATTTTTGCAAATTGCAATGAACATCTACATCTTACTACATGTTGGGGAAGGACGAGATCTTCTTATTGGTATAATTTAGTGTGACAAGTGAGTAAAGAAAAGGTTGTAATTATACCAAAACAAAGATGACTTGGTTGAACTTTTAGATGACTACTTGGTTGTCTCTGACTATTCTTGAGGATGGCGGATGCATAATCGCCCTTAAGGCAGTCTGCACTGAACTTTGTGCGAGATTAATTGTATTGATGTATTGTATTGTAGCGCTCTAATGGCAGCTGTGCTTTGATAGAAGAACGGTCGGAGGGTATCTTTGCCATGCTCAACGACGAATGCAGCATGGCAACCGGGACAGACCAAAGCTTCGTCAATAAACTGAAGAAACAATTCATTTTATGGCGCGTTACTTATCTTTCATCGGGCTAAACAGTGGTGATGCACAAGCAGAAGGCACTATTAAGGAAATAGAATTTGCGTTTTTAGAAGAGAAAACTGAATCTCAAGCTGGTAGACAACTGAAGACTCTCTAACTCCCGGCCATACAAACTTCGGGGAAATCAAGCACAAGCCGGAGTGTTTTATCGTGCATCATTACGCAGGGCCAGTGTGCTATACGAGCACAGGCTTTGTTTCGAAAAACAAAGACGGAATCCCTCAGGATGTCTGGAATCTGATGGGAAATAGTAAAAACCACTACGTCTACACGCTATTTCAGCAAGACCATGGGAGTAACTCGCAAGATCAGTTATGGATTTGGGACTATAAGTAACTAGGGAAGTTGCTCCTCTGGACCCCACGTGGCAAATATAGTGGGCTAGGAAGTTCCTCTTTACTGCAGCAAGATTTTTTTAGCTTCCTTGACTATTTTGAAAACGAGAAAGAGAGAAGAAAAAAACTCAAGCAGCTGGAAAGGCTCAAAGAGTTGCAACGTCGAACGTGAACGAGAAGAAGAGTGAGCGCTGTTTTTTGTTGTTGTTGCATTTTCTTAAGATGTGAAAGCCTTTACGCGTGAACAGTAACCCGAGGCCATACCTGGCTCAGCCCGCCAGAGTAGTAAGCCAAGCCACGAACCCGAGAGGTCTCGCCGCTGCCGTTTCCGCCGCGAGCCCGATTCGGCCCGATCTTGCATGCTTCGCACAAATCAGCTTCGCGAACCCGAGCCCGAGCCTGGTCTCGCGAGCGTGGCTCCTTGCGGGCCCGGCCCCGTGCCAGCCCAGCTCCGTGCAGGCCCGGCCTTTTGCGGGCCTGGGCCATAACGTGCCCCGCCCCGTGCGAGCCCAGCCGGCATCGCCGGCTCCGTGCGGGCCTGGGCCATAACGTGCCCCGCCCCGTGCGAGCCCAGCCGGCATCGCCGGCTCCGTGCGAGCCCGAGCCGGCCCCGTGTGAGCCCAGCCCCGTGCGGGCCCAGCCATGTGCGAGCCCAGCCCTGTGCCAGTTGAGGTGGGCCCCGTGCGAGCCTGTTCCCGCGCGAGCCCGGTCCCGCCGGATCTGTGCGAGCCCAGCCGGCCCCGCGTGAGCCCAGCCCCGTCTCTTCGAGCCCAGCCCCGTGCGAGCTCAGCGGGCCCCCTGCGAGCCAAGTGGGTCCCGTGCGAGCGTGGTTCCATGCGAGTCCAGCCGGCCCTGTGCGAGCCGAGCGGGCACCGCGGGAGCCAAGCGGGCTCCGTGCAAGCTCGGCCCCGTGCAAGCTCAGCCGCGTGCGAGCCTGGTCCCGTGCAAGCCCAGCCGTGTGTGAGCCCGGGCAGGCTCGTTTGAGGCTTGCCCCGTGCGAGCCCGGCCCCGTATGAGCCCGGCTCCGTGTGAGCTCGACGGGCCCCGTGTGAGTTCAGTGGCACCCGCGCGAGCCCAAGCCC